AAGTTAACAACTCTTGTGGAGAGAGGAGTTTCTCCTATCATCTGTAGATGGATATCAAATATGCTCACTAAAAGAGCTATACAAATCAGTGTGGGGGATTTCTCCGCGAGAGGAATTGTTGCAAAGGGCTGTTCGCAGGGGGGTGTTTTATCACCACTGCTATGGAACCTAGTTGTAGACAGTCTCCTATGCCACCTCAATTCGGAAATCGGTATCTATATCATCGTTTATGCAGATGACCTCACTATGCTGATTAGTGGAAAATTCGACTGATTCTTTGCTAAATATGCAATGCCCTAAGAACTATTGAAAAAATGGTGTAAGGACCATGCTTTGTTAGTCCAGGAAGACGGAAATGGGGTCAATAAAGGCACCAATTCTCCTAAACGCTACGCTAAACTTTGCATCTGATGTGAAATACTTAGGGGTTACATTCTATGCGAAGCTAACACGGAATCTTCATTTTGAAAGAAGATTAAAAAAGGCGTACATATCTTATGAACCGTTGGTTGAACCTGGGAAATGAAACCAAAAGTGGTCCATTCAGATGTTCAGGTAGAAAATGCGGCCCAATTAAACGATCGCCATATACTCCTGCCCATACATTGACACCGAACCTCCTCTGAAAGCTAAACCGACGAGTAGTGTGCGGATTTTCATCTGACCAAATGTGACTATTATAGCTGCAAAGAAATTAACTCTGTTTCACTTTAAATAAAATTTAATATTGAAGTTACAAAACTCCAAGAGTTCAAGTAATTTAAATTTCATTTCACAACAATTTCAATTTCATTACAGAAATAATGACATAAAGCTAACACGGAATCTTCACTTTGAGAGAAGATTAAAAAAGGCGTACATATTCTATGAGCAGTGTTGCAGAACCGTTGGTAAAACCTGGGGCATGAAACCAAATGTGGTTATGTGGATATACACTACCATAGTGAAACCAATGTTGGCCTACGGAGCTGTCGTCTGGTGGCCGAAAGTCCAGCAGACGACAGCTAAACAAAAGCTCAGCCAGTTACAAAGGATTGCCTGTCTCAGCATAACTGGAGCTATGCGAACAACTCCTACCATAGCAATGGAGGTAATGCTGTGTTTGCCACCTCTGGATATTTATCTAAGAGAAGTGGCCTTGGCAACCAACCTTAAACCGGATGTAGGATGAGAAGTCAGGAGTCGCCTTTGGAATGGGGTCGTCAGGAAGATGCCCCTTCTGCAGGCAGTATTTCTCCTCGATTTGCATTCGACAGACCCTACACCGTACTCATCAGAAAACGGGAGGAAACCGCTCACATCTTTACAGACGGATCAAAAAGGAAGGAAGGTTGCAGGATGTGGAATTTATTCTAGATCATTGCATATCTGATATCAGTAGGCAATGGATAGGCATGCTACCGTGGTACAAACGGAATTAGCAGGTATAACCATAGCCTCTAAAGAAATCGCCCGTATGCATACTACGGGTAAAACCACCAGAATCTATACAGATAGTAGACAAGCATTACTGATCTTGCGCAATCATAAGATAATTACTTGGTCAGTATGAGAAATCAAGCATTGGTCGTGCCTCAGTTTTCAACAGCATATCTGTGTGCTGGGTCAAGGGACACGAGCAGTGCAATGGCAACAAAGAAGCTGATAGGCTAGCCAGGAGTGCATCGGGTCTCAATATTTTTGGACCCGGTTCCTCCAGTGCGCTTCCACTGTCAGAAATTATTGAAATTATTAAGGAAAACACCCACACAGAGTTTATGAAACGGTGGGATGATAACATAACTGTCAATTTGCTAAGGAGTTCTTAGAATACCCTAGCAAGGATACAGACAAAAAATACCTGTCCATGTCCAGGTCAAATCTTCGCCTAGTGACAGGTATTCAAAATGGACACTGCTGGCTAAAGAATCACTTTCACAATATGAGGAAGTACGAGTACACGAAGTAAGATTCCAGATTCCAATACTTGAGCCCTGATTGGTTTCTGTACCGTGCCTACTTCTATGTTTTTTGTATGTTCACTGTTAGTTATTAAATCGTCATGGCAACGTGTCGCAAAATTCTAACTCTTTTTAAAACTTTTATAAGAGAAAATTACCCATATTTATAAGAATAATGATCTAGTAGATATGCTACTTATTTAAAAGAATTGTCGTCAAAATACGGTTGCTGCTTGACAAAGAACGCTTTCCCAATGAGTATCTATATTCCAACTTTAGCAGTTTTCTTAATCTTGTACAACGTGCTAGGGAACCTGGTGATTTACGTGAATATCGAGAAGGGCATACAAGATAATGTGAAAATAAATGTCGTGAAGAAAGAGGAAATTTCAAATAGTCTTTGAACAAGACTTGGGATGGTCGCAATGGGCCACTTCCATACCCATTGAGATCATCAGACCTTAACCCTTGTCTTTTTTGTGGAACTTAAACATTTGAGGCTTTAACTGTTACATTTCTCGCTTATTTGTGGAAATTTACAATATGAAAAAGTTGCCTATTTTTTCCTCAAGTTAAAAAGAAGGTTTTGAGGAATTTATATTTCCGACTATGCGCAATTTCGTAAAAAATATTTGACCTTCATTTGTTTTTTATTTATTGCGTATACTTACTTTGTGATTACTATAGCTATGGGCTTAAAGGAGTTTAACGAATTAAGCTCATAAAACTCTGTTCGATAAAGGATCATAAATAGTTTAGGTCGGAAACTTTTTATTGTCCACAGTTGTACACATATTTGATATAAATCAGGACACCTGTACATGAATCCTAACGAGTACATACACGCTTATGTTAATGTATAAAGGTATACTAAACTATAAAATATAATACTTTATGTCACATCCCATCTAAAAATCATAAGGTAAAAAGCGTCACATTAACTTTATGGAAACTTATTTGTTTACTCTGCATTCTCTATATTCAAACCATTCTCACGAGCTAAATAATTTTTAACTAACTGTCGTTGAACATTAAAAATGTATGTAGCTATTTGTTTCTTCTCAGTAGTATTTTTTTGTTCAAAATTAACAGTGAGTGAGGTGTGTCCTGTTTCATAAATAATACGGAAGTATTTGACGACAAAATCTAAAATGCCAGTTTCTAGATTCTCAATTTTTGTGGATATAGGATTTTTGAGCAATTAATCGTTGTTGAAAAAAAGTAACAACAAATCAATCTTTCGTGATTTGAGCAGAGCCTTTAACTGCGTAAATCATAATTTATTACTATCTATTTTGGAAAAATTTGGCATAAGAGGAACTGCACTTAACTGGGTATCAACATTTTTTCGGGATCGTCAGCAGTATGTGTCTTTAAAGGTCGAATCTAATCAATCTATAGATTTGTTTGTTTTATTCATTTTATATGTCAATAATCAAATCAAGTGTCACAGAACATATCGCCTATACAGCATAGACTTTTCAATGGTTTTATCCTCAAGGGATTCAGATGCATTGAGTAGTAGAACCGCAGATGCAGTGAGCAGAGTCTCACAGTACTTTAACAATGTCGATTTGTTTTTTAACGTGAACAAAACTTATATTTTAAGAATACGTAATTATCAAAGAACTATCGAAGATATACATATTAAAGTAAATAATAAAATTGTGACTAATGCACATGATGTGTACGTTTTCTAGGTGTTTATTTGGATGAATTCCCGAACTTTAAATTGCATTGTGATAAACTATTTTGAAAATGAAGTTTCTTTTCTTAAATTTGCGAACGGTGCTGAACCTTTCCCAGCTTGTACACGTTTACTATGCCCAAGTAGATTCAAGATTTATATACGGAATTTGTTTATGGCGTAATTCGACTAATTGTGGTGTTTTTATTGCTCAAAAAAGAATCATCCGTTGCATGTAAAAATCTCAGACAGAGAGTCATGTAGACAATATTTTAAGGATTTTTTTACCCCTTCCCTGTTTGTTTATATACGGATTATATGTTTATGTATATAGAAATAAGAAAAGCATTGACATTAACAAAAATAAGTACCTACAATTATAACACGAGACATGCTGGTGATCTTAGAGTGCCGTTTGCCAAACTAAACTAACCCTGAATAAGGAGCTGTTTCGGTCCAAAATATTTTATTCGTTTACCAAACGATGTTTAATATTGTTTGTCTGTACAAATTTTTTATTTTTTGCTCGAAAATGTTTTTACAGTGTGTCAGAGTTTTTAGATTTTTAAATCAAAGTTTTTATTTTTATTTTTGTTAGATTAAGTGTATGACGAATCCTATACATGTATACTATCTTAATGGAAAATAAATCATCATTATTATTATTGTTAATCGATTTTCTTTATGTTAACTGACTATTAACGATGGAAAAGGTAAACACAGACTAACAGAAGATTGTAAAAAACATGTATTTTCTTTATAAATGAAAATTTTGATTGCTTGTTGGCTCTTAAAGAAGTTAATCTTTTCTTTTTTATCTTGAAATTGCTTATATCGAGACTGTTTACTTGACTGCTTTGTCTGTGGTATGACTAATCCCATTATCATTATTTACAGCGATTATCATTTAGTAGGTGTAGGTCTGGCACTTACATAATAAGGTTCAAAATTCATTACTTCGAATCAAATGCGATTGTGTCTGACGGATGGAATATGATTGTAATGCACTAGAAGCAAAGCTATTATATTAGCACAAGGCTATTAAATATTATAGATAAGCACTATAATAGACAAAAGCAGATATATACCCATTGTGTTTTTTTAGAGAATTCTTTAATAAGACACATTTGATAGAATCGTAGACGTAAGCAACCATTGCTTACTATTACAGCAGCAGGTACTTATTTTTGCTTTAACATAGTCCAACCCCTGGACTATTATTGATTATTTATTTGATTTTTTAAATTTGTTTTTTTTATGGAGAGAGAGTAGTAAATAATACCATAAATAAATTAAACATCGCTCTCTTCTTCAGATGTTACTCTGAAACTAGAGATCTTCTAATCTTGTCACTATTTATATTTGATCACTGGTCACTGATCCGTGACGTTCCGGTGGGTGACCTCGTACGCGTTGTTGACGTTCCAGTGGGTGAATTCGTACGCGTTGTTGACGTTCCAGTGGGTTGCTTTCACGGATGACTCTCTTCCATATACCTGGCAGATCCACGTCAACGTCCCTGTTGAAATTGTTCGGATTTCTGTAAATTTCTAATGCTTCGCTGTATAGCCGGGGCCAAAATCTTCTCTCTCACTTCTCACCACCATGTTGGCTTCACTCAAATCCACTGTGTGTCCCGTGTCCGGCCTATGCTCTGCTTCTGCCAATTTTTCCCAGTTGATATTTTTGAGGTGACTTTTGTGTTCCTTTAACCTCGTGTTGATGTGCCTTCCTGTTTGTCCTATGTAGACCTTTCCACAAGAACAAGAAATACTGTACATGCCGGGGCCCTGGAGCTGGTCGTTGTTGCAGGTCTTTGGAAACGCTGCCGCCACCTTCTTTACAGTGCTGAATACTGTGTTGATATTCCTCTTCTTTAAAAGACGCCCGATTTTATCTGTACAACCTTTCACGTAAGGTAAATACGTCGTCGCTAAGTACTCCCGTTTCTCCATGGGCGTATGTCTCCTCTTAATAGCTCGTTCGTTTTTTCTCGTCGTGCAGCCATTCACTATCAGGGCCGTGCGTAGGTGTTCTAGTTCCTCGGCCAAGTGTCTTGTCTCGCTGATGATCCGCGTTCGATGAATCAATGTATTTATTATCCCCTGTTTCTGGGCTGGGTGGTGGTGGGACTCCGCATTCAGATATCTGTCTTTGTGAGTTGGCTTCCTATATACTCGATGTCCTAAAGTATCATCTGGTTTCCTCTCAACCAAAACACCCAAGATGGGAAGGGCGGCATTTTTCTTTATTTCCATGGTAAACTGGATATCTGGATATATCCTATTGATGTGATACAGGAAATCCGCTATGGTGTTGTGTCCGTGAGGCCAGATGATGAAGGTCTCAACATATCGGTACCACCGCTTAGGCCTCAACGTTGTGGATTCCAGGGCTTTCTTCTCAAAGGCTTCCATGTGTATTGGCCAGGACTGGAGATAATATCTCACCCATTGCTGCTCCTTCCGTCTGTTCGTAGAATTGGTCCCGGAATGCAAAGAAGGTCAATTTTATGCAGACTTTTGCCAAATCCATTAGGCTCTCATCCTTGTCCTCTGCGATTAGTCTTCGATGCAGTTCCTCCAGGGCTTCGTCGATGAGTACTTTCGTAAATAGGGATGTAATATCGAAGCTCACCAGGATATCTTCTGGTTGGAGTTCAATTCCTCGAATCTTGTCGTTAAAGATTCTTCACTTATCACCATTGATTCCAATGGTTTGGAACCAATAAAAAAATATAGGTGTAAGCCTAATTGTAAAGACTCGAACACTTAGATATATAACAAAATGTTGATTGTCTAGATATAACTTTTCAAAATCTATTTTTCGCTTAGCATGTTGATTTACAATAAATCGTTATTTAATTTAATTATAATATTTAGTTACAGGAAATGTCTCATCTCGACCATTTGTTTGTTAATTTATTTTTGTAGTTCGTCTTGCTGTTGACTGGTTTAATCACGTATCTAATATTTGTCGAATTGAAACTACTAGTAGTACTGTCTTTAGTTTTTGACCTCTTTCAAAATTTTTCCTTTTTAATTGTGCCACCTGAAATACATATTTCTATTTACGCCTCTTTCCAATCTTTTTCTCTGTGCAATTATATGTGGAATCTCTATATTTTGTAATTTAAAAGTTGAATGAAATGACTTAAAGGACTTAATAATGACTATACAACAGCCACAAATATTTTATCACTGTCAAGAAAAAATTGTTTTTTATCTGGTGTAACATTTACGTCTACTAACGATGATTTAGTTAAAATAGTTAGGAAAACAAAAATGATACTGGTTGTTGATATACTATTTATAAAATTCATTTACTAATTTCATTAATTTCGAAGATTTACAAGCTCCTGGGATTGATAAAATAAAATTGTCTATCTGTATAGATGCGTCCACTTCCATGAATAACACTTGAAATTAGACAGTCAAATGTAAAATAAATTTCCTTTGAGGTTTGATATTAATTTCATATTCATATAATAGTACGTAGTAGTGTATTCTCGTGAAGTTGTAATGCTCAACGTATAATTTTAACCACTGTGTCATGTCTATCTGTTTTGTATACTCCCAGCACTTATTAATTCATAGCCCCACAAAAAAAAAAGTATCGGATCTGGTATTCAGACCCATGTATTTCCATGTATTTTTTTCCGCTGAATCCGAATCTGCCTTCAGATTTGGCCCAACGGATCTGAGTTTTCGGGATAATTCAAAAAACAGGTTAAAATTCACAAAAAACGTCATTTACGATCGACGAAAGTTATAAAAAATCAAATTATTCTACCAGCTCACTAGACGTATGATTTTTCACTCGTTTAGTTGCAATTTATCGTCATAGAGTCAGACAAGCTGGTCCAATTTCATTCAAAAACAGAAAATAGATCAAAATGCTTAAAAACGCCATTTTCATGGCAAAATTCGTTTTACATCTTTCTATCCAGACGTTCATGCATGAATATACATATTTATTCATCCACCTGTACCACCTATAAAACCCACCCATCCATATACTTTAGGTGCCGAGAGATGAGATAACAGCCTAGAAGATTGAGAATGCAATAAGACTTGTAGAATACTCTACTTACTAAACAAAAGAAAACGATATCTATAAATCATTCTTATTTTTGTTGCTCTAACGTATTCTCTTTTCTTCAAAAGATCTATGCAAAGATTACGTTTTCGTTTATTCGTTTTATTTTTCTTTTCCCTTTTTAACAACCAACAAGTTTTCGCCCTACATGTACAAAGGGCGAAAATTTCCGAATATTTCTGAGGCGAAATTGAAAGAAGGTGTATTCGATGGACTTCAGATTCGGACATTGTTCAAGGATGCAACATTTTTCACTACAATGAGTAGCGTTGAGAAGAATGCTTGGACTAGTTTCAAAGTTGTAGCGACAAATTTTTTAGGAAACAACAAGAGTCTTAAATACGAAGAAATTGTATTAAAACTGATAAAAGACTTCCAAGACCTGGGATGTTTGATGGACTACAAGTTGCACTTCCTTCATTCACATCTGGATTGGTTTCCTGAAAATCGTAGAGATTATAGCGAAGAACAAGGCGAACGATCTCATCAGGATATGAAGGTTAAGGAATAGCGATATCAAGGAAGATGGGATCACAACATGATGGCCGATTTATGTTGGTTCTTAAAAAGAGAAATGAAAAATACAGGGACTAAACGAAAGCGTAACCCTTTGCATAGATCGTTTGAAGAAAAGAGAACACGTTATAGCAACAAAAATAAGAATGATTTGTAGATATCGTTTTCTTTTGTTTAGAAAGTAGAGTATTCTACAAGTTCTCAATCTTCTAGGCTATCTAGGCTGTTATCTCATCTCTCAGCACAAAAAGTAGATGGATAGATGGGTGGATGGGTGGGTTTTATAGGTGGTACAGGTGGATGATAGAAAGATGTATGAATTCATAAATGGGTGGGTGGATAAAAAGATGGAACCAGAACTCTGCAACACGAATTATGCCATGAAAATGGCGTTTTTAAGCATTTTGATCTATTTTCTGTTTTTGAATGAAATTGGACCAGTTTGTCTGACTCTATGATGATAAATTGGAATTAAACGAGTGAAAAATCTTACGTCTAGGGAGCTGGTAGAATAATTTGATTTTTTATAACTTTCGTCGATCGTAAATGACGTTTTTTGTGAATTTTGACCTGTTTTTTTAATTTTCCCGAAAACTCAGACCCGTTGGGCCAAATCTGAAGGCAGATTCGGATTCAGCGGAAAAAATACATAGAAATACATGGGTCTGAATACCAGATCCGATACTTTTTTTTGTGGGGCTGTGTTTTCGTCCTAGTATTATATGAAAGATTGTTTCGGAAAATAGGTGGTATTTTCTGCATCTATATATTTGTAATTGAGTAAATTTTTAGAATGTGTTTTCTATAGATATTTGTAGCTACGAGTCTTGCAAGTCTGAAACCCTTCTCTTCGGGGTGTAATCGACTTGTTTAAGGAAACTGGTATGTTTTTTATTTGTTTGTCCCTGATTACAATATCTGTGATTCAGAAGACAATTAATATTTTTTCTGATTTATTGTATTGTATATTGTTATAGATATAATACATTGTTCCTGTGTCGACAGGTCGTGTTGTAGTACAATTTTTATTTCATTAATAATAGGTGGTTATTATTTATTACTTTAACATGATCTTAATGATTTAACTGTTTAGTGCATAAGTCTTGCAACTCCATCACTCCGTTCTTCTTTTTTTATAACTTTTCCGAGATGAGATATAATTTTCTATTCGTGTTAGTTGTGTTCTAGTTAGTATATATTTTTTTGTTTTGAACCACTAAAATATAAAAAAACACAAATAAACTTGTGATAGCAAATACGTTAATACCTTTAAACTTGTTTTTCTATAATTAACGTATATATGAATATTTTTAAAGAAAACAATGAATTTATTATAAATAAATAATATATTATTAATATAACAATTAAATAACTGTTCTCCTACTCCCCCACTACATTTAACCTGCTTCTGATATATAACGGTACATTTTTTATTGAATAACGAATTCATCTAGGATAAAAAAATATGCCACTGCTGGAATAAACACTATAAGCACTTGGTAAATGAAAGATAAATAGTGATAATCAAATTGTTTTGTAATATATAAATAAAAATCACATGGGGAAAATGGTGTAATTTATAAGTATTTTAGTGTTATATATGTACTAAGCCTTGCTTAGTAGTAGCCTACCTATGCACTTGCAATTTAAGGTAATAATTATTATTTATTATAAATTACTATATATACTTATATTTTGCAGCATTTAATCGATTATACCTTTTTCTATACAGATATTCAATCGGCTAAATATTTTGTAAATTATTGTCAGGATTTGATTTATTTTAATTTAATTATGTTATTATGTATCTAGATATTCAACTTACGTTTATGCAATTAAAAATCAGTCTTCATTGCGTATCTAAAGGGGGACTTTTTGCATGAGGCATTTCTTTTATTTAGTTTACTATGTTAATGATAATGTAATTGTAGCTATTGTTATACAGGGTGTTTATTAGTTTCCATCACCCATGTCTTTTTAATGCAATTAAATCCGCCCCAGCGCTAACCAAAATGGTCGCAGAGGATGGACGGAAACAATGTCCTGTGTATTTATTTATCTGCATTTGGTATATTTAAACATTTAAAGAAAAAGCAGCAACTTTCAAAATTTTCTGGGTGGTATGCAACATATTTTCTATACAGTGGCATATAATTTTAATTTTTCATAAATGATCTCGGTTTTTCTGTTTTATTTCCGGTATTTTAATCAAAAGTTTTGATACTAAGTCATCTACATCACTCAAATTTAATTGATACAGATCATCACAGCGACATGCACCGGCAACTATTTAAGGCAACCTAAAAAGGAAAAACTTATAAATAGATGTTTTTAAAATATTCACATCTAAACATACCTTATTCATTAAGTACCTATATATTATCTGGTGCTTAAGTAGTAAACGTTTCAAGTTGTTTATTTGATCAAACTTTTGACTTCTTTGGTTTATAGTTTCCACCTCGACGTTTGAGAAGAACACGTAATTTCAAATATTTTGACAGATCGATGTCTTCCTTTGTACTAATTGTAAGTGTTGCTTTCAACGTGGAATAATTTGACCATAACGTAGAAGCCTTTATACATAAATCGGAAAAGTATATATTTTTATACAACTCTCTGCAGAGGAGCGTTTGTTGTATGTCTGGTAGTCTGAATATGGCGCAGCCTGACAGCAATACATGGATAAAATTATTGTATTTGCTCAGTCGACTATTTTTTAATTTTTACTAGATTCTGCACGACTAGTCTCTGAAGTGGTAGTTCTAGTGAAGACAAATTACGTCGAACTTTGTAGCCACGAAGT